TTAGGCACCCACTAGTTTATAATAAAGTGAGAAAGTTAAACAATTTAATCTTGTCTAGTTTTCTGTACCTTTGAGTGAATGTGCATAAAATATAAAGAAAGAGATTACTTTAGCCATTCTGTCCTCAAGTTAGGCATTATGATGATAAACTTATATTTTTATGGGTAGGAGCAGAGATAAATGGGAAGAGAAATAAATGGGAAATAGAAATGACAATGAAACTAAAGTGGAATTCTTTATGTAGGCTAAAAATGAAGTCTAGCAAGACAGAAATTAAATATTTTATAGCACATTATATAATCAAAGACATTCACTTTTCACACAAATTAAATCAAGAAATAATTCAGTTATAAGAGTACAAATAATTCAAAGGAAGATATGTAATAGATACTACCACCATAACAAATCCATACCAATTTGTTATCTACTCATAATTGGAAAATTATCTAACTCAAAGCTTCTGTTTTGTGATTTTCTTTTAAAAGAGTAACACGATCCTTTAAATCAAGTGTATAACATTTGCAACAAACTGAGATAATGATTTTTAGATTTCAAATACAAGTACTTTAGGTTAATAGCCAGATAAACTTTAAATTTCCACCTCATATAAAAAATCATATATAACCCTTTAAATTTCTACAGCATCCAGTATATATTTATTTTCATAGCTAGTTCTATCAGATGGTGAGATAATCAATTCCAAAGCGTTGGGGGTTGGAAAAACATTAATTAACCATGTAATAGTCCAGAGAATCTAATCTATTATCAAAGTTTTATAGCAAATTTTATATTATAAGGGGTATAGCTTTATTTGAAATTTTGTATTCCTAGTCAAACTCATATCTGCGTTGTTATTTCTTTCTTTTATAGATTTGGTTTCCCAATTTAGACCTGGCAAAGCTCAGGTCTAAATTAGACAATACAAATATTTGGTTGACTTGTGAAATGGGACATCAGTATCGCTGAAATCCTATTTGTATATTTTGTTAACCTAATCTGGATAAAAAATATCTTCCTGTACTGTATTTTATTCATACTGATATATACTAGAATTGGTGTTCATACTTCCACATGAATAATTAAGCATACAAAACACTTCATTTATTTAGAGACAGGGTCACTCTCTGCTGCCTAGGTTGGAGTGCAGTGGTACAATCACAGCTCACTACAGCCTCAACCTCCCAGGCTCAAGCAATCCTCCCATCTCAGCCACCCAAGTAGCTGGGACCATAGGCATGTGCCAACACCCCCAGCTAATTTTTGTATTTTTAAGAGATAAATACTTAATTGTAACCCAGAGTGCTTGAGGGAGGGCAGTGATGTAGAAGAAAGAGATGTCAAAGGCCCTCAATTTATGACTTGAGAAGCTGGGTATTTGGTGGCATCACTTATTTAAAAAGAAAGCATGGAATGTTCTTCCATGTTTGTGTTTGTGTCTCCTCTTTTATTTCATTTGAACATGTTTGTAGTTCTCTTGAAGTCGGTCCGTTCGTATCCCTTGTAGTGTGGGATTTCCGTACGGTATTTTTTTTGTTATTTATCTTTGAAGGCAATTGTGAATGGGTAGGTTCCACTCATGATTTGGATCTCTAGTTGTGGTCGTTAATTATGTTTGGTGTTATAAGAATGTTTGTGATTTTTATGCCACAGTTGATTTATTATATCCTGTATACTTGCTGAAGTGTGCTTATCAGTCTTAAGTGGATTTGGCTGTGAACAATGGGGTTTTCTAATGATTACAATCATGTCAATCTGCAAACAGCCGGAACAATTTACTTCTTTCTTGTTCCTTATACTGATAGTACCCTTGATTTCTTTCCGTGCCTGTTAGTTGCCCACGTGCCAGAACTTCCAACGCGTATTGGCTGAAGGTAGGACGTGGTGACGATGAGGCATCTCTTCTCTTGTGCCAGTTTTTAAAGGAGAATGCTTTGCAGTTTTTGCCCATTCAGTATGTATATTGGCTGTGGGTGTTTGTTATAAATAGCTATTATTATTCTTGGAGAATACATTCCAACAATCTGAATTTTACTTCGAGAGTTTTTAGCATGAAAGGCTGTTGGATTTGTAGTCACAGTGCCTATTTCTGCATCTAATGTGGATAATGCATTGGTTTTTGTCTTTGGTTCTGTTTATATCTGGATTATGTTTATTGATTGGGCATATGTTGAACCAGCCTTGCATCCCAGGGATGAAGCCCACTTGATCATGGTGGATAAGCTTTTTGATGTGCTGCTGGATCCGGTTAGCCAGTATTTTATTGAGGATTTTTGCATCGATATTCATCAGGGATATTGTCTAAAATTCTCTTTTTTTGTTGTGTCTCTGCCAGGCTTTGGTATCAGGATGATGTTGGCCTCATAAAATGAGTTATGGAGAATTCCCTCTTTTAAAAACAAGAAATGGGGAAAGGATTCCCTATTTAATAAATGGTGCTGGGAAAACTGGTGAGCCATAAGTAGAAAGCTGAAACTGGATCACTTCCTTACTCCTTATAC